GAAAAGGGTTATAAATAGACGGTTATTAACCTAGAAAAGGTACCAGCCAAAGATGCAAAGTTTCGATTATTAGACTGAGTCTGTAAGCCAGTCTCTAGGAGAGTTGGTATGTGTGAGCCTCTCTAATATCATGTTGATAGAAGAGTAGGATTGTTCCTTGAGTTGTAAGGTTCTGTTGTTCATTCTTAAGCTTTTAAGCATAAAATATTTATTGTTCTTGGATGAAGCTTTGAAGCAAATCCAAGTATGTTTTTTAGTCAAGAGTCTTGACTGAACTGGTTGTAATTGATATAAATATCACTAAGGTGATTTAGGAGCGAGATGTCGATTTCTCATATTTAGGGAGAACCTAGGTAGAAGTTGCATTAGGTAGGGATTAGGCGAGAAGTTTTAAACGGGGTAGTTTAGCTTTGAACTAATACTACTAATAGTGGACTTCCTTTATGGCATAGTAGCCCCCAGAGTAGGTGTTGTTGTACACCGAGTTGGGTCATCATATTTGTGTTTAATTATCTTTATGTTGTGTTCAGTTTTGTTCTTGATTGATTAAAATGTCATATAAGATGTTGAAATATGTGTTACGACTCTAGACTGATAAGTTGTGTATCAGTCTGCTGTATTCTGACCATGTGTTATTTTGCAAAGATCAATGTCTTAACATGTTTTATGACATTTGTAATATGTATACTATAATTTAAGTTTGCTTTATGTTTGTCTTAAATCAATTCTTGTGTCTTCTTTTGTTTCCTTATGTGTCGGTTTCTTTTCAACTCTATTTTGTCAAGTTTTGGCTAAAAAGGGGGAGAAAAGTGTCATTGAGTCTAGTCTAGTGTTTTTGTCTTCTATATGCAACAGTTTAGGGGGAGCATGACTGTCTGTCATGAGAGTTTTGAGTATGTCTTGTTTATGCTTCTTCTGCTACTTGCTGTTACTTCTAATATAGTTCTTTGCAGGATGTCCTATAGGATATTATAACATCCTGCCTATTGTGCATTTTCTGTTTGAGTCTTGTCTTTTGTGTCTTTTGTTATGAGTTATGAGCATTATTTTGTCTTGTGCTCTGAGTTATGTGTGTTGCTTCTGCTGCATGTTCTTCTAATGTGTTGAGTTCTTGAGGGGGAGATTTATCTCTGTGACAAGAATTAGTTATGTGTTTTAGAGGGAGTAACTTGGATGGTTCTGAAGATGCATGTCGTCTTCTTCCTTGTGTATAAAACTTACATGTTTAGCATGTAGTTTATGTTTGTGTAGTTGTTGTATCTTTGATACATATTTTTGTGCACTTTGGTTTTTGAATTTATTCCTATGTGGTGTTATTCCTCTATGCTTTTATTCCTCTCTCCATATTTTTGTGCAAATGTTGTTTTAGTCAAAATTTGCCAAAGGGGGGAGATTGTTAGTACCATGGTTTTGAGATTGGCAACATTTTTTCTAAAATATGGTTCACAACAAAGATGTTATGGGAGATGTTCTAACATGCTGGGAAGGTTCATTGAAAAATATGTTATGTCAGATGTTATGACATTCTCTACCCGAACATGTACAGGTTGTTTTAAATCTTGACATATTTAATTGGATTCTGTGATATTCCTTTTGGATATGTCTCAGTAAACTTTGCAGGTCAATAAGATTTAATCTAGAACAAGTTTTATATCTCCAGTTGTACATAAGTTACTAAATTAGGCCTTGAGACAATTTAGAAAACTTGGTATTGTTTGTTCCAAGAAATAAGGAGATTTTGTTGCACAATTGGTACATCACTCAGCTTGTGGATCAAGAAATATCTGAATGCAGATTTTAAAGTCAATGGACTGCAGAGGTGTATTTAATAAGAGAAGACCTAAACCTAATGGATCGAATTCTTTCAATTAAGTTTTCAATAATTTTATAAATTAGGGGAAACATAAGTATTAGGTTTTGAGAGTCTCTTGTGTAGTTGTAAGTCACCCATGTATCTTTTGATATTATGTGGTGGACTGATTGTTACTTGGCAGTTTGTCAAGTTATTGTTCTCACTCTTGAAGATTTTAAGCAAAAGAGTTGCATTTTGTATTTGAAGTGTAATCTTCTAAATTGGTTTGTTCTTGATACAATCAATGAGATTGAGACTTAGATATCACTGAGGTGATTAGGAAGTGAGATGAGATTTCTCATATCTAGATGATGATTTTTAGGTAGAAGTTGCACGAGGTAGTGATTAAGTGAGAATTGTAAACTGAGACTGTTTAGGATTTGAATTAATATTGTCATTATGAATTTCCTTCTTGGCTTGGTAGCCCTCACATGTAGATGATGTTGTACCAAATTGTAAGTCACCCATGTATATTTTGATACTATGTAGTAGACTGATTATTACTTGATAGTTTATCAAGTTATTGTCTCACTCTTGAAGTTTTTAAGCAAAAGAGTTGTGTTTTGTATTTGAAGTGTAATATTATAAATTGGGTTGTTCTTGATACAATAACTGGGATTGAGACTGATAGATATCATTGAGGTGATTAGGAAGTGAGATGGGATTTCGCATATCTAAGCGATGATTTCTAGGTAGAAGTTGCACAAGATAGTGATTAAGTGAGAAGTTGTAAACTGAGACTGTTTAGACTTTGAATTAATAATGGCATTGTTAATTTCCTTCTTGACTTGGTAGCCCCTAGATATAGGTGATATTGCACCGAACTATGTTAACAATTCTATTTGTTATTTATCATTTGCAGTTTAGTTTCAGTATCACTTACATCTTTATAAATTTGTTCAGTCTGTTAACAGATGTTGTAACATTTGTCTTGACATTGTTCTGATGTTGAGACATCAGTATGAACATGTGTTGTATGTGCCATAAAATTTCACACCTTACGATTACTAGACCAGACATTGTTTATGTTGTTCATGTTGTTAGTCAATTTATTGTCTCCCCTACTACAGTGCATTGGGAAGTTGTTCTTCGCATATGTCGTTATTTTCGGGGAACCCGGCTTCAGAGCCTTCTCTTTCCCTCATCGTCCTCATTAAAATTATGTGCTTATTATGATGCTGATTGAGCTGGCGACCCCACAGATCGTAAGTCTACCACATGATTTTGTGTCTTTGTTGGAGCCTCTCTTATTTCTTGGAAGAGTAAGAAATAATATATTGTTTGTCGTTCTTCTACAGAAGCTGAATATCGTGCTATGGCATCCATCACTACTGGAATAGTTTGGTTGCATTGGTTACTTTCTGATATGGGTGTCATTCTTTCTGAGCCAACTCCTATGTATTGTGATAACAAAAGTGCCACTCAAATTTTCCATAACTTGGTATTTCATTAACGTACTAAACACATTGAGATTGATTGTCACTTTACCTGTTATCATCTTCAGCATGGGACAATTACTCTACCGTTTTTCTCCTCTACTTTACAGATTGTTGATTCGTTTATGAAAGACGCATTCCATCAAACATTTTCGATTTTTTATTGACAAACTCTCCATACTCTCTACTAACGCATCTTGAATTTGAGTTGAGATATTATTTATTATTATTATTATTATTATTATTATTATTATTATTATTATTATTATTATTATTATTATTATTATTATTATTATTATTATTATTATTATTATTATTATTATTGTTGTTGTTTTATTGTATCTTTATAAGGGTAGTTCGTCTTTCCTAACTTTTTGTATTTATACTCTAGTGTAACTCTTACTCCTCAAGTTTTTGTCCATTCTAATGAAATTCTAAGTCAAATGGTTTTTCTCCTTTTCTATGTTTATATATATTTACTATTGTTAATAATTGCATGCTTAGGTTTTTAATTCTTAGCGTAGTTTATCGTTTATTCAATTGGTAGCAGTTTACTACATAATGTTAGATTTTGTTAGAATTAGTACCTAATCAAGCTTTAGTGGTGATTACATTATGGAAAACTAATGATGTTAGAATCCGATCATAATTGAAATATTGTGTATGACACATCTTGTATAATATACAATCGTTCAATTATTCATTGTTGAACAATCGGTGAGTTTTATGAATTGTGTATTCGTCGACGCGATCAAAATTCTAATAAAAATATAATCTTTCTATTTTCACTTTAAATCTTCCGCACACACTTTTGAAAAACCTCTGATATTCTATTTTTAAAAAATCAATCAAATATTTTTTTAAGGGTCTATTCACTGTCCTCTAGACTATTTTTCTACTCTATATTCTCACCCAACTAAAATATCTTTAATCAAAATATAAATGATTATGAAACTTCTATAATTGATTCTATATCAAAAATTCAGTATATAATCAATTATGACACTTATGTAATCAATTATGAAACTAACTCACTTAATAATTGATTATGAAATTCTTGTAATCATTTATGTTTCAACTCCGACAACAACCTTTCATTTTTGCTAGATCATAATCGACTATGGTCGCGGCATAATTGATTATGATTTGAATCTAAACCTTCCTAATTTTTTTGGAGTAAATGTTTGACAATAAAAGAAGAACTTGTAATGATTTAAAAACACACAAGAATTCTGAAACATAAAAATGAACTCATAGTTGGAGATTGCTATTTCTAGCCAAGTGCTAGAAGAGATTGCTTTGAAATTATTTGAGGCATCATAGCTCGAACTCTATCCTTGTAACTACCTCTCATGATTTGAACCCATAGTTGGAGATGTTTGTTATGTGCTTGTATTCCCTTAAATATATGCACCTAAATTTACTTTCTTTTTTCTTTTTTCTTTTTTCTTTTTTCTTTTTATAAGGTAAACACCTAAATCTTACGTATACAATCTTAACTTCCTTTGGACGGTAAGATAAATATAAGATAGATGAGAGAAATCTAGCGTGACACTACAGTCACATACATAGTGGACCAAACCTTCCACTATCACATTATTCTTTCTTCTTTGGAATCATTTGACCAGAAGTACCCTATGACCCATCCTCTTTATCAACGCCCTTTATTTACTTCTTATCTCTCTTTTTCTTCTCCTTTGTAACTTACTACTATGACCGTTCAACTCATCATGGAATACTTCAGTAACCACACTTTATCAAACAAGTACCAAGAGAATGATGCAGTTGAAGAGGCTGCTTCTGGTTTAGAAACCATAGAAAAACTCAAAAGTTACTATCACCACAAACACAATCATGTTCTTCAAATGCTAAGCTTAGTTCCATGGAATCAGTTGAAACCATTGCTGACTTTGCTGTTTCGAAGTTTAAGAATGTTATTTCACTTCTGAGTCGAAACCGAACAAGATCCGGTCACGCTCGTTTCAGAAGAGCACCTTTACCTTCTGAAACTATAGTCTACCGTGCAACTCCGTTGCAGCAGATTCCTCCGCTTGTCCCCACAAATGAAGTGGTTGAGAAGAACAAGATTATTGATTCTCTTATGCATCTGCTAATTCGTTCATGTCTTCTCTCACCGGTGATGCTGTACATGTTCTTCTTCATGGGAAAGCCTTGTGTTTCTTCGTGTTCGTTGAAGAGAAAGTGTGATTCTGAGAATTTCGGTTCTGGCAAGTGTGGTAGTTCTCTAGAAACTGTCATTGTTCAAAAAAGAGGTATGATATGGCTATCTTCAAAATTCGTTTTGTTGTTCTTCTTTTTGTGTTAATTAGTTTATTATTGTAGAAAAATGAGATTGAGAAGAGTGGTGAGAGTAGCCGCAATAAGCTTGAAGATGGCTGAAATTCCAACGGATGATTACTCATGGAGAAAGTATGGTCAGAAACCAATTAAAGGATCACCTTATCCAAGGTAATTATTATTACTTATCAACCTTGTGATTTTGAAATGAAAAGTAATGACAAGTACTAAGTTATTTACTACTATCACAGGGGCTATTACAAGTGCAGCAGTGTTAAGGATGTCCAGCACGCAAACATGTAGAAAGGGCTTTGGATGATCCATCAATGTGGTAGTTACATATGAAGGAGAACACAATCACTCACTCTCTGCTATTGAAGCTAATATCTCATCTTAGATAGAATCTTCTTGACTTTAGTTAACTGCCTAACTAGTCTTTATGTCAATGATTCATAACAACTTGTACAATTGCATCTTTTTTATTTCTAAGCCGGCACAGCTTTTCTTGTACAATATGGGATGATTCTTTAGCTTTTCTTGTTTTCTTCACAAACTCCAACAAAGTGAATCCGGTATTGTTTATTTTGAAAGAAAAAAAGTGGAAATGGTGGATTTGGTAAAAAGAATAGAAATAGTGAAGTGGGGCTTTAGTCTTCTTTTATTGTTTTATATGTTGTGTTTTATTCTTTTGGAAGCTCATAAAGTTGAAAAATAATAAATAAATCGGTTTTTTTAGTGGAATATTTTTTTACTCATGTGCAATTTAAATAAACAGTTAAATTAACTTTAACTAATCATTCAAAATTTAAATAGGAAAATAATAGATATATAAAGTCTTTCTAATAATATTATCACATAACAATTTTTCTAATAATATTGTCAAATAATAATTTTTACTGATATCTAAGCAACTCTTTCAAAAAAAAAATTGAAACAGCGTAAAACTATTTATAAATCATGTAACGAATAATGATAAAAATATATATTTAAATTTAACGATGTTAGATGTGAGAATTCACATCTGTTGATGAACATAATTATGCATGATGAAGATGAATGAACCATGAGAGAATGAGAGAGAGGAGGATAGAGAGAGAACTCAAGATCTTTTTGAAATTTGATTATGATTCATTGTTTGAATACAAAGCATACACGTATTATATATACATCTCATGCATACAACCACAAATTAGTTACTTAGAGATGGAGTTAGTTAGATATTCTAACTAAATTTTCTATATTCCCAAACATCAACCTAACTAACTCTATATCTAATATCCCCTCAATATCATAGTTGGAGCAAGGTGCAACTTTGAGCTTGTTTTTGAAAGACTTGAAAGGATGTATTGGAGAGTGCTTTGATTTTCTTTTTTTTCTCTTAGAAACCCAACTCGCATCTCTGGAATTTCCTGGAAGCACAACAAATTGAGGCGCACTAGTTTGTTCTGCTTGAGGAATGTGAGAGCAATTTGTTCAGGATCAGCATTAAATCAATAAGGCTCTTAGTAGTCTCAACTTTAATATTGAATTGGCTTTCATTACTGGATATCAAGCTACTAGAGGATGCAGTTCTCTCTGTCACTGCTGAGTAAATAACTTCGCTATCATCCACTCCTATCGGTTCTTTAGTATCTGTCACCATAAGTTTTTTAGTTATGCAATAAGTGTCCCTTAAAGCAGCTTAGTAGCTCTATCATAATCCCCGACATTTCCCTAACCATAATAACATGTGTCTCCAATTATTAAAACAACACGTTCGTTACCCTGCTCAGAAGATGTTAATATGCCCACTGATGCCTTTTTGCATCTGTGCAAAGTTCACATGCACTCATAGACATGCTTTACTCTCCATATTTATCAAAGCAACATTACTTTGTGCCTTGCCAACATCACCTTTTAAATATGCTTCCAGTGCCATCTAGACAAAGAGCTTCATGAACCTCGTTCTGCAACTAATTTGTATAAGGCAGTAGCTAATGGAATGTTCTTCTTGAAGCCAACACCAGATTAAAAAATCTTTGCAAGCTGGTAGAAAGCCTTCGGTTGACCATTGTTGAAAGCCACCATAAGTATTTACATGTCAACCTCACATCTATTTTCACTATAGATCCTGAGTTCATAGCTTTCGTCTTCTTTGAATGCATCAACAATCCTTTGAGCTGCAAACACAAGTCTCTTTGTTGGCCAACTACTATCCATACTCGCCACTGTTGTGATGAATTTCTTATACCTTGCTAATATTTCTTATGCATGGAATCTGGTCTACTACAAGAAAGTGCATGTTTGAGTGCATTCTTGATAGAGGTGTTGTAGTAGAATAAGAAGGTGAAGTAGAAACAATAGTAGAAATATTAGAAATAGAAGAATAAGTGATTGTTATCTTTGACACGGGGTTAACGAGACTTGACATTTACAT